ATCAGTGTATACCAACATTTTGCACAAAATAATCTTTTTACATTATAAAATATGAAAAGTGTAATCATCATTGTTGATAGCATCATTAGAGGAATAAACATAAAAGCATTATAACTTTCCCCATTCCCCCATCCCTGCACAAAATCTAATCAAATAGTTGATTATACTTTAGCATTTAAAGAAAGAATTCTATCTTATTATGTTGTAGACACCAAAGTGTAATAAAAACTAATTTCCATAATTTAAATCTCAGTTTGATAGTAAAATACTTCCAAGTCTGCACCTTGTTTCTTAGGATGGATGTGACTAGTGAAAGATGCTGCCATAATCACCAACTTGGGGCACAGCTGTGGTTCTTGTGCATGAGACTTTTCTATGGGGCTTGTTAAAATGAGACCCCTGGATTCACCCAGATTCTGACCCACATACACTAGGTGTCACGTAGAATACAGGAGAACTATGTTTTTAATAGATTCACATCAGTGCAGGTTATCCGCTGAACATAATTTGGAAAAGCAAGATAAGCATGTTAAAATTTTCAGCCTTTGCCTGTTTAGTTTTCTTTATGTCATAAACAGACACCAGTCCTTCAGTGGTCAGTTTTCACAAGCCTACTTTGGAGCTTCTAATTGATTTATTTTTAAGCTTAACTTTTTGTAGTAAAGATCCAGTTACCTGCTTTATCTTATTTTATTGAAGCAAAGTTCAGTAATATTAAGAACTTTATTAGAAGCAGAAGAAAAGGAAAATGAAGTATTTGTGGAGGGGATCAAGGTCTCACTTTTACTTTTACACAACATAATTCCCCAAAACTATCATCACTTATTCTATCATTTACTTAATATTCACCCATGATCCTCAGTAATGATACAAAATTGTTGAAAAAGTAGGGAAGTAATCTTCATCAATGGCTGACTTTTTACCATGCCTCTCTCTATATGTAGAAGAGTACTAGATATCTTTAAAGATTAAGAAAAATATGCCATAAAAATATGTTTCAGAAAAATGCATGTCTAGTCTATATCTATATTTGATATACATAGTTCACAGATTTGTGTAGAAAGAGTTATGTAGAAATTTCTTTTCTTCTAAAATTCGCTTAGTACATTGTAAAATTTGCTTACTGTTTTCTTTCATACAATAGTAGAAATGTGTCTTTTCTACTAGCTGCCAATTAATGGCATAAATTTTCTCATTTTGGACAAGATATCATGCACATTTGCATAACTGTATAGAATCTATCGTATTTGTAAGAAGAATTCCTATCCTATTTGTAAGAAGAGGAATTCCTATATGTGTTTCTCCTAAACTAATTTTTAAAAATTATTGTTTCTGGCAAACAAGGAGTACCAACACCACCACCACATCCCTCCCCTGCCCCTGTTGTAAGTGACCAGCTTATTCGGAGAAACACAGGCTGTGATAACAGATATCAAGGTGAAATGCAATTGATGACTGTGGTGCTTTGGTGTTTCACTAACATTGCAGGTCTAGGGCCAGTGGTCTGATCTTAGGTTCAGAGGATAGTGGTACACAGTGAGACATCTAGGGGGGACCTCCTTCTGAGGGTTGCAGCTATTGCTGATTCCCTATGGTCTTGTTTTGGAAGTCCTATATTGTTTCCATTGTTTGGTTGGGTTGGGTTTTATTCTCTTTTGTTTTGTTTGATTATGTCAGATCTGATAATAGGAGCAGCTATATATCAAAGATAGCAAGATATATTATGGTAGCAATTTTGGATTTACTAATTGGCTTGTCTTGAAGTCCTTTGTTATATTCATTGTTTTGTTTTTATTCTACTCTGTTCTGTTTGATTTTCACTATATCTGAAGTTATCTGCAGGTATTTTGAAGACATCAAAAGGCAATATGGTAACTATTGTGGATTTTGTAATGCTTTGAAGTCCTGTATCTTTTATACTAGTTTGTTTTTATTGGTTTTATTCTGTTTTATCCTCTTTAAAATAAAAAGAAATACTTTTAACCCCAAAATAAATTCATAGGCTAAAAAAGGATGGACAACAATACTTCACACAACAAGAACCTGAAAACAAACAGAAATAGCTGTACTATTTTATGTAAAGTGAATTTCAAGCCAAAGCTGATCACAAGAGAGAAAGAAAGACATTACAATTGGTTTATGGAACTATTCAGCAGGAAGAGATAACAATTACAATCATATTTATACCAAGCCACAGCACACTCAACTTTGTAAAACAAATTCTAATAGACATAAGAAATTGCAATATAATTATAGTGGAAGACTTCAGTACCACACTATCAAAAAAGATAAACTAGAACACAATACAGAATAAGTTAAGAAGTATTAGAGTTGAACCCAAATCTTTGAACAAATGAACTTAATAGATGGTATATACTGAGTATTCTACTCAACAACAAAACACATATTCCTATTTGAATATGATACAGGCCAACATCATATTTAGTGGGAAAAAATCTGAAATATTTCCTGCTGAAGTCAGTAACAAGACAAGGACACCCATTGCAACTTCTGTTTCAATATAGTACATGAAACATTAGCCAGGGCAATTAGGGAAGAGAAAGAAATAAGAGGGATATGTATAGGAAAGGAAGAAGAAATTATTATTTGAAGGTGATATGATCCTCTAGCTACAGAATAAAAAAATTCTTCCAAAAGACTTTTAGATTTAATAATTTCAGCACTATAGTAGGATATAATATTAGCACAAAAATCAATAGCATCCCTATACACTAATAATGAGCTCACTGTGAAAGAAATTAGGAAAATAATACCATTCACAATAGTATAAAAATTAAATACATAGATATTAACCTGACTAAAAAGGTAAAAGACCCCTACAATGATAATTGCATTAGGAGGACATCAGATAAAGAAAAAAGTATATCCTGTTATTAAAAGAACCAACATATTAAAAATGGCCACACTTCAAAATCATACACAGATGTAATATAATCCCAATCAAAATACCAATATCACAGAGCTAGAGAAAACTATCCTAAACTTTATGTGGAGCCAGGAGAGACCCAGAACAGCAAAAGTAAGCCTTGATAACAAAGGTAAAGCAAGTGGCCTCACAACTCCAGACCTGAAGCTGTGCTGTAAAGGTACAGTGATTAAAGCAGGCTAGTGCTGGCACAGATACAGACATGTCCATCTGTGGAACTGAACAGAAGAAGCAGAAAGATATGTTCTTTAATAAATGGTCCTGGGAAAGTTGGATACCACTTGCAGAAAATTGCATCTAGAGCCATATATCTTGGCATATGCTAAACTAAAATAAAAGTGGATCAAAGATCTAAATGTTAAAATGGAAATAATATGCTACAAGATAAAATAGATACAACTCTTGAATATGTAGGCATGAGACAGAACCCTGATAAAACAGAAAATAATGAGAAGCAAAAAACAAAGCAAAAATGCACAAGTGGCCAATAAATACATAAAAAAGTTCATCATCTCTGGCTGTTAGAGAAATCTGACTTGAAATTATACTGAGATACCATCTTATCCCTGAGAAATGTTATCACCAAAAATCTAATATCAAATGCTATGAAGATGTTGGAAGAAAGAAACTCTTCTACATTGTTTTTAGAAATGTAAACTAGTATAACCACTATGGACTGTGGAGTTTCCTCAAAAAACAAACAAACAAAAAATTCCATTTGGTCCACTTACTCTGTTCTAGGTATCTTTCCAAAAGAAATAAAATGATCATATTACCTGGATACATGTATACCCATGTTTACAGTAGCACAATGTATAATAGCTAGACCTTGGAGACAGTGCTTATGTCCACTAACAGATAAATGGATTGGTAAAATGTGATATTTATGCACATTGGAGTACTAAGCTACCATAAAGAAAGATAACCTTGAGGATCTATAGACAATGGATGAAACAGAACATAACATTAAGTGCCAGATACAGAAGCTTAAATATTCAATGGTCTTATCTATGAGAAACACCATCTAAGTAAAGAGCAAAATGGAAGAGAGACAAATAAGGAGTCGGGAGAAGTTTAAATACATCACCCAATAATATATTTTATTGTTTAAAAAATATTTCAATAAGCATGCTAATTGGTTTCAATTACACTACAGTTTATTTTAGTTCTTTGAAAGGAAAGTTTTGTGTTATCATCTGTTTGTTTCTTTTTCTGTTTTATGCTTGTACTCTGAGTACCTGCTTTGAAGATAATGATACATTGTATATTAGCTATTGTTATTCTCATTATTTGATAATGAAATTTCATTTTATTTTTTCAAAATGAAACACGGTGAATGCTGCTGCTCAGTGTGACTCATTGGAAAGACTCTTTTATTTATTAGATTCATTAAACTTCTTGCTGTTCCCCAAAGTCAAAATAATTATGAGAAATAAATGTTTTGAGTAGATTCAGGACATGGAGGCAGCCATGACTGTGCACTTGAAGACAGTCACAGAAAAGGACTTCCTGAGCTGCTTCAGAAAGAGGCGAGAAGGATGTTTTGAGGGAGATTTCCTAAAGCCTACTTATTGGAAATTTAAAGATATTAGAACATTTATTACTGTGTTGCTGGGGATTAACCCAGAGCCTCAGACCTGCAAAAGCAGGGCCGGGACAATGATTACACCCCGAGCCAGACAGTAAATGTTAAAGACCTAATCTAGTCATATGCTTTTAAATGGAAAAATTATAGAAGCCATTTTTTGACATTTTAATATTTGATCATGTGAAGAGCTGGCTAATTTTTTCCTGAATGTTATCAGCAGAGGGCAGCAAAGATTCAGGTAGTATGTTCTGAGGGTCAAGGGAATCTGCTGAGGAAATTTTTTTTTTTTTTTTTTTTGTTGCTCTGAAGAAGTTTGTTCTGGCTTAAATTTTAATGAAGTAATTGGTAATAACATGTAGGAATTTGCTTTAAAACTGTAGCTTTGGTTAAGATATTTAGCCACCTCTTAAGTGCTATAGATATTTCCTTAATGAGAACATGTATTTCTTTCTTTCTGTAATCTAGGGAGTACCAGGGCCTGGAAAATATGACATTAGAAGTCAATTTCAGATGACTGAAGGTATCACACCAAATGTAACTGGTGCATCCCCTGCCTTTCTTTCTCAGTCTCAGGTAATGGTTTATAGCCATTTTTATATAGAATGTCTAATAGGCATAATGTGAGGCCAGCTGCAAATCCAGTAGTTTTAAGTTGATAATAAATAGAAAAATGATATCTAAGGAAATGGAAAATAGACACAATCTGGGCCAATAATAGGTCAAAGAATGAAGTGAATTAATATTAGAATATTAATAAAACTGATGAATATTTGAATTGGAAACAAGTATTGAACATTTCAGTTAAGCAAATTTGCATAGATGAACATTCAGTTAGAATTATAAAAAGGTCTACTTTATTTTTAATTTTAAAATATGCCTTGCCAATGAATGTGTAAAGGATTAATGAGTAATCTGTGAAGACATGCATATATTTCAGAGGAAGTTCTGTGCAACTTGGTCATACATATGTCATATCTACAAGGGCTACTGAGACCTTCTCTGCTGCTGTTGCAGTTGTAGCATCTATTCCATAGTAACTGGCTCACATTGTCCAAGGAATGTGCTAATAGAATTTGAGGATACTGAAGATGTTTCTAAGGCAAAACAATTAAAATACTGGCAAATGTTTATTATGTGGCGTCCTCCCAACCAGGGTAGTTTTGGTATTTATCCATGTACTATATTCAGATCTGATTATTTAATTTGGGAAGATTACTAACCTTCAGGTGACTACAGATTACTATTCTGGTTTTATTATATTTAAGAGACAACTCCTTGGAGACAAGTAGATATATTGTAGGTATATTTTGTAGATATAATTGGATGACTTCTTAATGGTGGTGTAGCACCTGACTGGGAAGAATCAAGAACTTAATGGTACTTAAGGTGCTACACAAGATGGATGTGTGAGGGATAGGATACAGTGTGCATATGTTATTGATTTTTTAAAATGAAGTTCTACAACCAGGAGCCTCAGTTTTTATGCTACCTGATATGTAGCTCTAACTTTATATCATTTGGCACTAATCATATTATAAATATGTTTTCAGATATGGAAAGAATGATCAGTTTTGTTTAAGGAGATGATAAAGAAGAGAATAATAGTTCTGGTGTGAAAGACATGTGGGAAGTAGACTAAAACATGATTGTATAGTATTAGTGTTATATTGAATATGAACAGATATATTAATAATTATGATAGAAAAATAATGCAATGAATAAGACTTAGGGCACAGAATTTCTGATTTACAGGGGTAATGATGGGTATTTTTCTGGGACATTTTTATCAATTCACTTAAGGAGTTGTCCATTTGCCTAAATACATTGAATTTCATCATGTCTCTGAGTACTCATTTTTGAAACATAGTATTTTCTTTGTAGCAGTAATTCTCGGGCACAAGTACACATTAGAAGCACCTGGGGAAATTTTTAGTATATTTGTATACCCAGGTGCCAAACTGGCCTTTTCCTCTTCCTCTTTGAGAGTGATTCCACTGACCTAAATTACAGCCCAGGTGTCAGTTATTTTTTGAGATCTTCAAGTGATTCTAATATCAGGGTTTGGAATTATCTCCCCCTCCCTCCAGGAATGGTCAAACCTAGAAGTTTTCTATCACTGAGCTATATGCCAGTCCTTTTTATTTTTATTTTGAGACAAAGTTTTGCTAAATTGGTCAGATTGGTCTCAATCTTATGATTCTCCTGTTTGTCTCTCAAATGCTGAGATTACAAGATGAAACACAAATCCATGATATTTGTTGTCTACAAGACAGTGAAGGGATGAGAGCAGAAGCAGCAGCATCCTGCAGCTCACTTGTACTGACTTTTAAGAGCTAATTGTTTATTTTCCAGGGGTTTTGCAAGTCAATTGCTTTTATATTGATCACGTGAAAATGATCAGTGCTATATGTATATTTATGCCATGGGAATCAGGGAATAATATAAATTGAGACACTTTTTCAGGGCACAGAATTTCATAAGAAGGAAATGGGAAGCAGTAACATTTCTTTCATCATAGTTTTACAAATACATACTTTGTCTTTTGTTAACATGCAAATATTTCATGGATTCAAAGATGAAAACAAATCAGTACCTCTGGAAAGCACTTTTAAAATATCTAAAACTGAAGGCATATGAAATAAATAAGCAGTTGTATACCAAATGAATACCATTAACCACAGTGAAGGGATTAAAAAGGAATGATTATAGGTAATTACAGAATTTGACTACAAAATTGTTTATAGTGGAACTGAGGATGCAGATAGTTGAACTAAGACTGCAAACAAATTTGGAGTTATTTTTAGTTGTTTGATTTATTGGAAGGGTATGTGTGAAGCAATCATGAAGTTATTTAGAAAATTAGAGTTTTGTGCAAAAAGTTGTAGTTGTGAGCTATGGTTTTCAGTGTCCAAGAAGCAATGTACAAATATGGGTTGGAAGACATGAGAAGGGACCCTGTGATATAGATTTGAAGTGAATATTCCATTATGAACCTATTATTTCTCATATATGTTATATATATTATATATGTATGTCCATATATATATATTTTCTCTGTGTATATCATTTTGTCTGGTAAATGAATCAAGAAATGTAGACACCCCAGTGGCAAAGAGCATTTCTGGCACACAGATCTTACACTCATTCCATTCTGTGTTATAAAGGAATAGAATTCTGACACATGGCTTATTTCAGTGTAGGTAGAAGATGAATCGGTAATATCTTGTCATGTTAGAAAGTAAGTTCTAAAAGACAGTGAAAGAAGAGAATATACTTAAGGGTATAGGAATCAACTTGAAGGTCATCCTGCCCCTGTAAAGTTTAGTAATGAATTATACATTACTAAAGCTGGCATTTGCAAGTCCATATGACAATAAATAGATAACTCAGTAGTCAGAAAGATAGATAGATAATGAAAGGAATAATTAGAGAAGGGAGTGCTAACAGGAGAATACTGAGTGCATTCTGATAAATGTAGATTAAAATCAGCAATGAAGAAGAAACCATGTGACTCCAAATATGATAGATTGACAAATCACAGCCCCACTTACTTAGCATTTTCTGCAGGAATATATAACTGGATATAATTATGAAGAACTAGAAAATAAGCCCCAAATAAAGGAGGCCCTTCTACACAAATGAGGGATATGATATTCTTCCCAAAATACCAAAGTTGAAAAATACAAAGGAAGCTGAGGAAAAGTCCTACATTAAAGGAGGCTAAATGGAGTTGCTAAGAACAATATCTGATCCTGCACGGGAGGGAAAAATGCAGTAGAGGCATTATTAGACCCATTGACAATTTGGAATATGAATACTATATGGTTTCTCTTCTATGAGAAACTCAAAAGATAAATAATATAAAGAGCAGAATAGAAAACAGATGGTAGGACAAGGGAGATAGACTCTGTGGGAAGGGAAGATGGGAGGCAAAGGGGAAGGGGAAGAAAAAGAATCACAGAAACTCTTTGTTTAATGAACCACCTGGTAAATTACTGTTCAGACTTATGCTGTATTTGGACCTCCACACAGCAATGTGAGTGCTCTTATGGCCTTATGGTGGTTCTTCTACAGTACAGTACTGCAATCTTTGGTAATTATACTGTGCAGTATAGTACTGTAGTTTTATATTCTATCATACATTACAGTACTACATGTAAGGGTTTTGCAAATAAAAGCAAAGTCAAGTTGCAGTTTCTTTTGATGCTCCTTTGTTCTAAATATTATAATGTACATGCTCTATACAATTCATCATTTGCCACCAAGTCATTCAATGACCTAGTTACAGGAACTGTAACTTGGTTGTTAAATGAGGAGTATCTGTACTATGATATGTGTTTGTACCAATTATCTGTGATGAATACTTATCATGCATAGCAAACATATAATAATAAAGATAAATAAAAAACATTACAGTGTATTTTTGTCTACTTCTTCACTGGATCCAGCCCTGTGGAACTTCTGCCTCTTCCTCCTCTCTCACATTACATACTTATTATATTATATATATCATATAAACACACACACACACACACACATATATATATAGTATTTAGAGGTAAAGAACCACTATATATGTAACTTTTGAATGCATAATTATATGTATATATAGCAAGAGAAAAAGAGAAAGACAGAAAGACAAAGAAGTGGTATGAAGACCAATAGAAAGAGACACAGGCAGAAAAAATAGGAACTTGAAAAAAAACAAGTGAGAGGATATGTTAAAAATGAATAAAGCTGGGTTAAGATTATACTGATATGCAAGATTTTTGCAAATTTAAAATTATTTTCAAATAAAAATTTAAAGCTAAAATACCACTATATTTCACATTTATATATATAGATACATAGAATATTAATATATATATAATAGATATTTAATGTTATTTATAGGTTAAACTGAATTTATAAACTACCTTAAGCTAAGATTTTATTTTTCTTAGGTAATGATATTTTTGTGCTAATTGACTCTCTGGTTAGAAACATTGTTAATATGCTGTAATTTGATTAAAGAAATTAAGTGAAATCATTTGCTACCTTACTTTACATACTATTTTAAATACAAAAATTATCCACGTAGTATAATCTAGGAAATCATGTTTAGATTATTTCCTTCAAAAATTCTGTCTGCTTTAATACGGCACATAATACATTACTATATTAGTACATTGGTGATTTTACTAAAACATATTTCATGTTTTGATGGGCATAAGATCTTAATTTATCTGTATCTTCACTCCATTAAGAAATAAATTAAACCATCGATGTTATATTACTCATAAGGCAGCTTTAACCCATAAAGTATCAAAATGTACTACTTTTTCACTGGCATCTTTTCCTGTTCTTCACCAGAGATTTGTGCCTGTGAAATCAATCACCCCAGCTCCTGGCACATATAATGAACCTCGAACTGCTTTCAAGACCTCAAAGAAAACATCAGGACTGAAAAATACCCCCTTTGGTCAAAGTGCTGCTCGATTCACACAGGACTCCAGGGCAGAGGAAATGCCAGGTTAGCAATCAATCCATTCCTACACTTTAGTTTGAAGTAACTTAATATTCTGAGGCAGAGGGATGCACCAGAGAGTATGTTTAATCACTGTAGATCAATAACTCTTTACAGTATCGTGTGTGCGCTAAACACAGTCAAATCAAAATAAGGTGCACTTTTATCAATTTTTGCTCTACCACGTCACACATCTTAATTGTAATTTTCTGTTGTTTTTGTTTATTTAGTATATTTTCTCTTGTAGAAAATTATATATAATACGTATAATGTATTTATGTATAAACAAATATATTAGCCATATAATCACTGTTAGTAATATAATTTATGACACTCAGTTTTGTTTAACCAAATCACATATTTAAGTATTCTTGATGGATATTCTAGCTTACAGACTATAAGAATATAAGAATTAAGAATATAGAAACAAAATAACTATAATGCTATCTTATAGTTCTGATTATCTATTGCCACATAACAAACAGGTTTAAGATAAAATATATTTATATTACATTTCATTATTTTGTGGTATGGCTAGAAGACAGGGCTCAAATGAGATGTCATGTACATCCTTCTGTGACTCCTCAAAGGCTGCCTCAGTCATGTCTGATTAACACATAACAAATTGTGGTTTCATAAGGCCTGGCTTGATGATCCAAAATGTCTCCTGAACAATCGAAGAATACCCGGTATTTCCTTTCCACATATTGTAGTCAGTCTGTCACTCAGGCAGCATGTATCAGAGAGAAAGACATGAAATGTCACCTCTCAGTGACAAGGGTGGGAAAGAATTTATTGCCACCTATAGTTTGCTAAATAGTTTCTGGCCACAAAAATCCTCATTCTTTCTCTATGCACCTTTCTTTTCTCAAGGATCCTAAAGTCTGATGCAATTATGGCATGATCTCAAAGTTTAGGGTCTTGTCATCTAAGTTGGGTAAAGTGCAGATAATTATCCTTGGGTGTGATTCTCATATACCTTACTGAGTGTAAATCAAGAAGCCCATCTAACCCAAAAGGAAACTCATAAACTGAAAGTCTAACAATATAAAACAATACTTCATGCAACAGGAATGCCCCCCCAAAAGTGGGGGTAGCTATTCTGTTTGCAGACAATGTGAACTTCAAACCAAGAATGATGCAAAGAGATAAAGAAAGTCACTGCATATGAGCTAGGCGAAAACTTCAAGAGGAAGAGATAACAATCTTAAATATGTATGCACCAAATTCCAGAGCACCCAGCTATACAAATAAAGTATTACCAGAAACTAAGCATCAAATAAGCAATAACACAATTATTATAGGAGACCTTAACACACTATTGACACAAAGGCACACATCAACCAGACTGAAAAACAGCAAAGAAATGACATAACTGAATTACATCTGTGAACAAATGGAGTTGATAGACATATATATAGTGTTCTATCCAACAACATCAGAATATACATTTTCTCAACATTACATGGGGACATTCTCTAAACTACATCGTATACTAGCCCACAGAACATATTTAAGAAAGTGAAAAAGAATTGAAATTATCCCATGCATGTTATCAGATCATAATGCCATGAAACTAGAAATTAATGATAAAAGAAACTGCGAAAACTCACAAACATATGAAAACTGAATAATATACTCTTGAAAAATCAGTCACAGGGCAAATTAAAGAAGAAATTAAATAATATCTACAAGCAAATGAAAATAGAAATACAACTTACCAGAATCTGTGGGATGCAATGAAAGTGGTCCTCAGAGGAAAATTCTTCCACATCAGGAAAACCAAATGAATACAAATAAACAACTTGATGCTAAACCTCAAACATCTAGAAAAAGAAGAGCAAGTCAAACCTAAAACCAACATAAGGGAGGAAATTATAAAAATCAGAGCAGAAATTAATGCAATAGAGCCTAAGAAAACAATCCAAAGAATCAATGAATCAAATAGTTGGTTCTTTGAAAGAATAAATAAAATTGATAACCCTCTAGCCCACCTTATTTAAAAAGGAAATAAAAAGCTCAAATTCATGCAATAAGGAATGATAAAGTTGAAATCACTATAGAGTCTTTGGAAATACAGAAGATCACAACCTATTTCAAAAACCTTTACTGTCATAGGTTTGATAACACAGAAGAAATGGACAGATTTCTAGAAACATATGAAGTACCAAAGCTGGGTCAAGAAGATATAACACTGCTGAATAACCCAATTTCTATAAATAAAATTGAAAATGTAATTTAGTCCTTACCTACAAAGAAGAGCCCAGGCCCTGACGGATTCTCTGTGGAATTCTACAAGAAATACAATGCAGACTTAATGCTGACAGTCCTCAAACTCTTCAATGAAATCAAATGGGAAGCAATTCTTCCTAAGTCATTCCTGGAAGCAAATGTTACTGTAACACCAAAACCTGAGAAAGATCCAACTAAAAAAGAGAACTACAGACCAATCCCCCTAATGAACACAAATGCAAAAATCCTCAATAAAATATTGGGAAACAGGATGCAGCAAATCATCAAGAAATCATCCAAGTGGGATTCCCACAACCCACTTGGGATTCATCCCAGGCATGCAGGGATGGTTCAACATACATAAATCAATAAATGTAATACATCATATCAATAAAGCCAAATGTAAGAATCACATTATCATTTCTATAGATGCAGAAAAAGCTTTTGATAAGGTCCCCAACATTCGTTCATGATAAGAACTTTAATGAAAATCGGAATAGATGGTCTTTACGTCAACATGATAAAGGCCTTCTATGAGAAACCAACATCCGGCATCATATTAAATGGCCAAAAACTGAATTCCTTTACCTTAAAAGCAGGCACAAGACAAGGATGCCCATTATCACTGCTCCTATTCAACATGGTACTGGAAATACTACCCAGAGCAATTAGGCAAGAGAGAGAAATAAAGGGTTTAAAATAGGAGAAGAGGAAGTTAAATTATCATTATTTGCTGAGGACATGATACTCTACAGAGAAGACCCCCAAAACTATAACTAGACTCATGCTTATCACCAGGTACTGAGATAAAAATCTAAATGAATCAAAGATGTAAATACTAAAACAGAAATGTTACATTTGTTGGAAGACAAAGTAGGTAAAAATCTTGAAGACATAGGGGTAGGTAGAGAATTCATGACCAGGAATCAAGTTGTGTGGGAAATGCTTCCCAGAATCAGTAACTTGGATCACGTCTTATTAAAGAGTTTATGCATGTTGAAAAAAATCTCCAGCATAGTGAAAAGAAAACCCACAAACTAGGAAAAATCTTAGTGAACCATCCCTCAGAGAAAGGGCTTCTGTCTAGAACATATAAAGAATTAAAAAAAAATCAGATCCCTGAAATTCAACAACCCAATCAGAAAATGGGCATTTGAGATGAATACACAGTTCTCAGATGAAGAAATACAAATGGCAAATAAATATATGAAAAAAATATTCATCATCATTAGTTATTAGAGAAATGCAAATTAAAACCACACTGACTCCCTCTCACTCCTCAAAGAATGGCCAGGATCAAGAAAACTACCAACTACAAATGCTGGGGAGGCTGTGGGGAAAAAGGAACTCTTCTGCATTGTTGGTGGGAGTGTAGACTTGGGCAACCATGAATGGAGATCAGTCTGGAGATTCCTCAAAAACCTAGGATTGGAAGTCCCATTTGACCCAGCTGTTCTACTTCTAGACATATTCCCAGAAAAACTGAAAACATTGTACTAGAGTGATGTATATGCACCCATGTTTATAGCAGCACAATTTGTAATAGCCAGATCTTGGAAACAACCTAAGTGTCTATCAACTGAGGAATGGATAAAAAAGTTGTGGTATTTTTATACAATGGAGTACTACTTAGCTATAAAGAATGATCACATTGAGATATTTATAAATAAATTGATACAACTTGAGACCATACTATAATCGAAATAAATGAAACCCTCATGTATAAATACTGTATAGTCTCCCTAGTGTAAGAATTGGTAAGAGTACATAAGATTTTATGGTAATCATGATTCTCCATTACATTGCTTTGAAGTGTTATAATGTTTTCATTCATTAGTTGGAATGGTTTTATTCTTTTTTGTTTCATTTTATTATGTGTGATCTATGAACAGCTATTGTGAAGAAAACAAGACATTATGGCAGTCATTGCTGATTTAATATCATCTTGCTTTGAAGTTCTACAATGCTTTTGTTCTATTTTCATTGGTTCTATCATGTTGTGTCATTTTGGATTTTAATATGTGTGATAGTATAAACAAATTTTTTATGGAAATGAGATAATATAGTAGCCATTGTTTATTCTCTGTTATTTGGTTCTGAATGTCCTGTAATGTTCTCATTCTCTTGAATGGCTTTATACTGTTTTGTTATATTTCGTATTATTGTATATGAAGGTATATTCAACTATTTCAAAGAAAGAGACATTATGGTAGCTACTGTTAATATCCTGTTGTCTTGTTGTGAAGTGCTGTGTTGCTTACATTGTTCTGTTCCGATCTGCTTTGTTCTGTCCTCTTTTGTCTTAATCTCTTTAAAATATAATTTTAAAAAAGTTAGAATTTATCATATAATTTGGTATTTTCTGTATTACCTTAAGCATTAGTTTTTCTGAAAATTCTGTTTTTGCACATACAAATCCTCTTTTCTCTAGCCTCTAATAGTATTTTGCTCAATTTACTACCAACAGTATTCTGAAAGCTGTTTTCCTAAATACTGAGGTTGCTTTGGGTTCTGACTCATTACAATTCCAAAGTTACTGCTGCAAATTTAGTTATGTTAGGGAATTACTGTACCCTGTGTACAATTATTTGCTTCTCATTTTAGTTAAAGGGAAGATTCATTCTTCCCTCTTCATTGTTGGCTCTCTGTGACAGCATCTTGGCCAATGTATATGGTAGAAGTGATATTTTTAGCTCTTCTGGGATCAATAAGCTGTGTAACCACTACTGGGGCCTTTTCAGCAACTGGCCTTGTGTCCTGAACCTCTGTGTACTGACTGGTATGTTCAAGCACTACTCCCAGATGACTCACTGACCAGATTAACTCATTTGTTTTACCATAAGTCTGAAATCTCAATTATTTGTAGACATTACTTCATTGAATAACCCAATTACTTTAAGGTAGGTTTTTACCTTCAATTTGTTGGTCAAATATGTTACCACAAAAATAAAAATTATCAATTCCTCAATAGTTATCCCTAAAGGGCAAGTTAAGAATAACCTCTGAAATCCAATCCCAAATGCTAAATACTTTAGGTATTATTAGTAAGAATGGCATCATGTAATTTTGATTCCTTTCCATTAAGCTATGAAGGCACATGGCATATTTTACCACCTACTAAACATCTTAAATTACCATCGCAATGCACCCTTATGTCTTCTAATTCTCGCTTAGCAGATACCATTAGGGGTTCGTTGAAATTTCTTTGCTTAGTGACCAGGAAATGAATATGAGAAACTTCTAAGATGAGGGAATCACAGGATCAGAAGGGTTTTCTTGGTCAAAACTCAGAAAGATAAACTCTGAGATGCATATGCCATGGGGGGAGGGAGTCCCTTGTCCTGAAGACACACTGTGCTCAAGTATATAAGCTTATCTCCAACATTATGCTGTGCCAGAGGGAGAAGGATCTTACATGCTTATCTTTTAAGTACCTTGAATGCTGGCTGAAATGATTTTTTTTTGTTTAACTTTTGATTTATCTCCTTCTTAAACATTACCAATAGAAGAAATGTTGTGAGACAGTAGGGCTACTCAGAAACATTGTGAACTATTTTCTCTCCTGTGATGACAAAAGAAATTGCACCAGAGTATAATGCAACACGGGGCTGCCTTCATTACGGTAAATTTATGTTTAGTAGTGAGCTCCCCATCTTGTGCACTCTTCTGGGGCATGCACCTGTCCACACTTCAGGCAGTACTGAATTAGTCAATTTCTATTATTTTCAGATGATAAACTGGAAGCCCTGAGAAACAAGTGAGACAAGTGAAATTTCATACCCGTTAAATTGCAGAGCTAATTTAATAGAATCTACATAAAAGGGGTATAATTAACCTGAGTGTTCAAGTGCAGTATATTGCATGATTGGATATTATGACTCACAGCAATTAAATTTTTAAATACTGAATTAGAGAGGATATGCTCAAATATTTGCCCCAAATATTGACAGCCTTGATAAAAACTTTTAAAACAGCATAGAAATATGCGTGTATTCTTTTGAGTGAAAATATATAAAACTATTTATTTAAACCACAGAAAATAATCCATGTCATAACTATGTGCCATAAGTAAAGTGCAAAAATTAAAATAACTACCATGATAGGGAGATTGGGTGATAGGTGATTTTTTTTTTGCCAAATTCATCTCGATGCTGCTACATCAACCTGTAAACATTTTTTACTTTTGAGGTTTATTTTTTCTCTACTGAGGTGTGACTTGTATACAATAAAAGTCATTCATTTTAGGTATACAATTTGATGATTTTTAGTAAATATATACATGAAGTGTCATTAATAGAAGTACATACTAAACTAAACATACTTTATTCAGGATCTCATAATTGCAATTTAGAGAGTATAGATTGTAATAGAGACCAGAAAATGTGTTCCATTAAGTAGAGGATTAGAGGGTTCTTTAAAGCGCAAGAAGAGGAAGTTTATTTATTTATTTATTTATGTTTTTTTTTTTGTTTTACACAGGGTCTCACTGTGTAGCCCAGGCTTGCCTTGAACTCACAGCTATCGTGCTGCTTCAGCCTCCCCAGTGCTAGGATTATCAGTGTGTGCCACTACACCTGGTGCAAAAGGAGGAAGCTTAAATGAGTAATTTAGGTTGCTTTTCAGGAATTATGACCGGGACTAAACTTACTAAACTTATGCTCATTGGTCTAGCACAGACCCTTTAGACCATAACATGGTTACCACTGCGGAGTTTGTTTTTAAGGTTCTCAGGATGTTCCTTCTCAGCAAGTAATTTTCTCAGCATGTCAGCAAGCTGACAGAGCACAAGACAGTGTCTGAGTCGTAGCAGGGAGTCACAGCTGTAAATTTCTTCCACACTGGCCATCACTGTTATGATCATCAATCCTAAAAAAGATCCCTCCTCTACTTTTGCAGTTAATTTCTACCTCTACTCCTAGCCTAGGCAACTGGTTCTTACTCTGAATTTATCTTTTACTAAAATGTCATATAAATGGACTCATACATTATTCAGGATTTTCTTTTACTTTGTATCATGTTTTCAAAATTTATTCATATTGAATTTATTTTTACTTTTATTGCTGAGCCATATTCTACTGTTATAGCACATTTTGTTTACCTGTTCAGGAAATGATCATTTGTGTTATCTTAATTTCTTTTCAGAAAAATGCTTGGAAATAGAATTTCTAGGTTCTGTAGTAAGAATATTTTAAACATTGTAACAATTTGAGCTTTTGAAGTGTCTATCTCATCTTGCATTACAAATATTGGAGAGCTCTTTCTAGAAACTATTCAGTTGAAAAATGAAAATCATATTCATTCTCATGTAAATATTCTTATGTTTTAGGTCCTGGGTTTTATAATATCCTAAACAATAATATAGTTGCCAGTATTAGAGATAACAGCTTGAAGCAACCAGAGAAAAGTGCATTTGGTTCTTCTGTTTCTCGAACTTTGGTCCTGGTTCAGAATAAAGCTTATACTTCTCCTGGACCTTCTGATTATCAGGTAATACATTGATACCAAAATAATGTTTGTATCTAAAATTACATGTGATAGTATAATAGTAGAGAATGATACCACACAGTTATTATGTCTACATTCCACTTGTGTAGGAGGCTAGAAGAAAGAATGGACATAGTAGAGAAATAGTAGATAATGAAAAATTCTAGATAGAACAAATGTAAGATTTGTAAAAGTGAATACTAGGGATGTATTCATTGAGGGGTAAAGGTAATCAGAATGGTGAAAGCACACAAATTCAAATAAAGAAATGAAATATTCAATATAGACACTTGAAATATTCAATACAGACTTAGAATTAACCAGGTAGCTGCTATAAAATGATACATTTTCTAATGTAGAAAGTGTTCTGTGTAATTGACATAAGGTAAACTATCAAGATCAGTAGATGAGAGTTATTGTTTCAGATTTCAGTTTAGTGGATGTAATAAACTAGATTTTGATTTAGTACAGCTTCAATGTGCAGTATAATTTTAAATTGAGACTAATAGCTGTAGCAATGAAAACAAAAGAAAACAAACTAGAGTACAATATGCTTAACAAGTTAAAAGGGGACTAATTATGTAAATATTTGAAATCTGATCCCCTGAATTACTGATACCTGAACCATTTTGTATTATTATACATAAAAGTCATTTTTATGGGATTAAATTTATATTTTTAGACATTAAAATTTCAGGTTTCTAATTTTTATTGAAGCTTATTTTTCAGAGTTTTTTTCTATGTAATATCCCCCCACAAAGTTTGTTTCTGTATAAACATCTTTATCTTAGTTACTTTTCTCTTGTTGGTGAGATAAAACACACAATACCCAAAGTAAAGGGGTGGAGGATGTCTGTTTATCTCACAGTTTTAGTCCAAAAATCAGCTTGCTCCAAGGCAGGGTGGCACTTGACAGTGACAGAAAACAGCAAAAGTAAAATGGAGAGAAGGGAGGCCATCCTCTTTCTGTCCCTTATGTTGTATCTAGTCTACCAGGATTAGAATGGTGCCAATCCAATCAGTGAACCCCCAGCAGTCACCATTCTTAATCGCAGTACTGAACCAGGAATCAATCACGCACTCTAGATTCATCTACCTCTGAAAATCACACTTCCTGTGACTGTATGAGGCTTTCAGAGGGGATGTCTAGTTGCAAACCATAACAATCTTCTTAATTTTTTATTATTAAGACAATTTCTTACGAACATTTTATGGTTCTGTGCATTTTGTTCAGGACTCACCTTTCATTACTGATAATATAGCAAACACTTTTTGAAGATAATGTCTCTCTCCCAAGCAGAGGATGTATTTATTGTCCATTTTAAAATTTGTGACCCTACGGCTCATGTTTTTTCTCTCATAACAAAGCCATTCTCGGTTGTGCATAGATTTACATTGTACAAGTACCCATTTTACTCTGTTTTGCCCTCATTATTACTTGAGAGTAAAGAGGACTAATGTAAGTATGCTGATGCTTGAGCTGTTTGTCATGCCATGAGTAATAATTTCAATGATCTCTGACACAAGAATCTTGTATCTTCTATTACCATATGTGACACTGTCGTAGAACTTGGAAATTTGATTTTTTTTTGTGTGTGTGTGTGTGGGGGTACTGGGGATTGAATTCATGACCTCACGCTTGCCAGGTAGGCACTTATGCCACTGAACTAAATCCCTGGCCTTAGAATTTGGAAATTTGAGTGAGGCAAAATCTCAGACCCTTTATAGTTCTTGATATTCTTATACCATTCATTTATAGACTTTAAAAAATTATTTTCTATTCCTACAGGTTTCAGTACTATACATGGCAGTTTATTCAAAACCTTTCTCTAGTTTCTGTCAATTTATTTTCTATTAAATTCATCAGTTAATTATTGAGATACTAAAATAAAAATAAGATTAACATGACTATATATGTTAGATTTTCCAAATTTCTACACTTTTTATTTTGAGCTTGCTTCTATTACCAGCCTTTAATAAGTATTTTAAAACTTTTACTGTTCAACTTGAAATGTATGTACTTTAATTGTGATAGAAAACACATAGCATAGAACTTACCATTCTAACAATTTTGTGTTACTATAGGTATACTTTTAATTCATCATGAAAATAGCCTTTAGAATATTTTTGCTGTGTTTTGCATAAAATGTACTAACAGTTCATTGTTCTTAGAAACTAAGCATTTAGGTAAAAAATTATTAAAATTATAAAGTGAAAGAAATTAAAAATCTTCATAGTAAACCACCTATTGTATCACACCATGTTTATGAGTATGGTGTTTGGACTCAGTGCTTGAATGTATGGTCTTGTTTTGCCACTGAATTTCTAAAAGGTATTTAAACTGTACTTTAGTAAAATGGAGATCATGATATTATAGCTCATAATATTTTATTGTGAATACTAAAAGTATCAACATGTAAAATACGTTGAATAGTTTTTAGCAAATAAGGACATTAATTGTGCTGTTGTTACTAACAACTATCTATAGAAATAACTTGGACTCTGGTAGAGTACAGAAAATTTGACGAATTCTAAAATCATGAGTAAACATGTTTGATTAAAAAAAAACCGAGCCTAATAGCTTTATACTTAATTGTAGTATCAATCAATTTATAATTAATTAATTTATATATACATGTATACACATGTTTTTTGTGTTCTATTTCTCGTTTGCTTTCAATTTAATTTAATTAATTTATTTATTGTCTTTTTGAGACAGGGTTTCACTGTGCAGTTCAGGTTGGCCTTGAACTCACTTTGTAGCCCAGGCTGGTCTCAAACTTTAAAGGATCCTCCTGCCTCAGCCTCCTGAATAGTGCTGGGATTACAGGTGTGTGCCATCACACCTGGTTTCTCATTTGTTTTTAGTATATTTTCTCAATTTCTTTTTTGATTAGTCAAATATTTTATTCTATTTCATCTACATCTGTTGCAGTTTAGTTATTTACTATTTTACTATTATTTTAGTGCTTCCTTTATCTTCACAACATACTCAAATCATTGACTGTATATAAGTACTGCACACTAACTGATTGTGCCACTGGAGCTCTTAAAAGCAATTAACTTTACCACTTTCTCGATAATGCTAATTTAGCATACTTTAGCTCAGTTTTGCTATTTCTGTTTAATTATAATTTTAAATTTACATATTAATACATATTAGGTATATTTACATATTACAAAATTGAACATATTTGTTTTATAGTCTCAATTTTTACTTACAGGTACTCATACAATTTTCATATTTTGTTGTAGTTCATTTCTTTCTGAATTTTCATGTTTCCATCAGCAATAGTTTTTGTTCAGTCCAAATAACTCCCTTTGATGTTTTTTTCTGCTCCAGTTATGTTGTGATAAATTATTATAAGTTTGGATTGTCTAAAAATATCTTCATTTTATCATTTTTTGAAAGATTTTCCTGGTTTGGATTTTTAGATTGGTACAATGACATCACTTCAATAATGTCATTCCATGTTTCTTGACATTTCCACTGAGAAATAAGTTGTTAGGTATATTGTCATTTCTTTGACAGAAACTGACTTTTTTACCTTTTAGTTTTTGCTGTTGATGTATGTTTTGGTTAATTTTCTCTTGTAGTTGGGACAAAACGTCTAACACCCCAAATTAAGGAAGGAAAGGTTTATTTAGCTCATAGTTTATGGAAGTTTCCGTCTATAACCAGCTGTCTCCAAGGTAAGGTGGCACAGTATAGGGGCAACAGTGCAAAGCAGCAAGAGCAAAAGGGGAAGAGCAAGCCTCCCTTCCCCTCTTATACTGTGAGCAGGCTGCCCCCTGTACCCAGTGTAGGGGAAGCAATCGTCAAATCTCCATGTCCCCTTGCACAGGACCAGAATATTTACAAAATAAGGACCTTGGCTTCCTGCTGAATCACTTTGTTAACTTTTTAGATTTCTCAGATTGACACAATGTATCAACCATAACAACATGTCTAAAATACTCCTTCTTTTTAAGATATTTGCATGAGGTTTGCAGAACATTAAATCTCTGTGTTGGTGTTTTTCATCAGTTTGAAAGTGATCATTGTGGTTATTCCTTGATCTGTTTCTTTTGTTCCATCTTTCTGAAATTCTGTGATATTTATATTAGATATGTTCACCATGCCTCATATATCTCTCAGACTGCCTCAGTAATGTACAATCTTGTTTTTCTTCACATATAAATTCAGTTTTTTTTACTGAAAAATTTCAATTTACTAATGTTTTCTTCATCTGTCTAAATTGCTATAAAACTCAACCTGTTGACTTTTCAATCTCAGACTTTTTATTTTTCAGTTTTAGAATTCTTTTTAAGAGTTTGTCTCTGAAAAAATTCTATATGCTTTTACTGATTCTTTTTCCATTTTTACCCTTTATTTTCTTAAACATATTCATAAATGTCTTAAAGTCATTGCTTGCTAATTCTAATATCTGTATTATTTGTCAGAATGTTCTATTAATTTTTTAACCTTAGTATTTGATCATGAACTATCTTTTATTTTTATTTTAAAGAGAAAAAAGATAAAAACAGTTTCAAACAGATTAGTAGGACAGTCACAATAATTAACACATTGTGTATTTTTGTCTTGTAGTGGGTACAGTATAAGACATAGGTAACATATCTTTTTTTTTTTCTTTGTCTTTTTCCTTTTTATCGGTACCAGGGATCGAACTCATGACTGCCTCCTTACAAGGCAGGCGCTTATGCCGCTGAGCTAAATCCCCAGCCTCTAGGTAACATATCTTGTGCAAACAATATTAGTTAAAACCTTTCTTTTCAATGAATTGAAAAACTAGCTGTATAACTAGCTTAATTGTCATGTGAGTACATCTAGTTTTTTCTTTCTCTCTTTCTTCTTTCCCCTCTCACTCATCAGAGTTTGTCTTTTCTTTTGAACAGTTTCTTCTCAATTCACTATATCTATTTTATATTTTGGGTCTTATTTATATTTTGGATCTTATTTACTCATTCAATTTCTCTTACTAGTGAGACAATATAATGTTTAC